TAAAAATAATGATATAATATAAATATATTATTTTTTATATTATTTAATAATTAATTTTTTTATTTTTTAAAACTCATAATAATATATATTAATTAATTTAATAATATAATTTATATTATATTATTAATTTTAAATTTTTATCTTAAATTTTTATTTTTTCTATAATTGCTCTTTTGAATTATTTACTTGACATTTTATGTTTGGTCCCCGAGCTCCTTTGCGATGGAATTTTGATATGACATGACCTAGAGGAAGGTGGATTCTAACTCTTCACTTACGCGCGACATAGACTATAGAAGTCAATAACGTACCATCCCTCATTTTTGAATTATTTACTTGATATTTTGTTTGGTCCCCTAACTTACGCAATGTAAAACAAAATAACATATGATTCTTGATTTCTGAATTATTTATTTGACATTTTATGTTTGGTCCCTGAGCTCTTTTGCGATGGAATTTTGATATGACATAACCTAGAGGAAGATGGATTCTAACTCCTCACTTACGCGCGGCATAGACTATAGAGGTCAATAACGTACTATCTCTCGTTTTTGAATTATTTACTTGATATTTTGTTTGGTCCCCTAACTTACGCAATATGTAGAAGAAAATAACATATGATTCCTGATTTTTGAATTATTTACTTGACATTTTATGTTTGGTCCCCGAGCTCCTTTGCAATGGAATTTTGATATGACATGACCTAGAGGAAGGTAGACTCTAACTCCTCACTTACGCGCAGCATAAACTATAGAAGTCAATAACATACTATCCCTTGTTTTTGAATTATTTACTTGATATTTTGTTTGGTCCCCTAACTTACGCAATGTAGAAGAAAATAAGATATGATTCCTGATTTCTAAATTATTTACTTGACATTTTATGTTTGGTCCTCGAGCTCCTTCGCGATGGAATTTTGATATGACATGACCTAGAGGAAGGTCGACTCTAACTTCTTACTTACGCGCGGCATAGACTATAGAAGTCAATAACGTACTATCCCTTGTTTTTGAATTATTTACTTGATATTTTGTTTGGTCCCTTAACTTACGCAATATGTAAAAGAAAATAACATATGATTTCTGAATTATTTACTTGACATTTTATGTTTGGTCCCCGAGCTCCTTTGCGATGGAATTTTGATATGACATGACCTAGAGGAAGGTGGCTCTAACTCCTCACTTATGCGCGGCATAGACTATAGAAGTCAATAATGTACTATTCCTCATTTTTGAATTATTTACTTGATATTTTTTTTGGTCCCCTAACTTACGCAATGTAGAAGAAAATAACATATGATTCTTGATTTCTGAATTATTTACTTAACATTTTATGTTTGGTCCCCGAGCTCCTTTGCAATGGAATTTTGATATGACATGACCTAGAGGAAGGTGGACTCTAACTCCTCACTTACGCGCGGCATAGACTATAGAAGTTAATAACGTACTATCCCTCGTTTTTGAATTATTTACTTGATATTTTGTTTGGTCCCCTAACTTATGCAATATGTAGAAGAAAATAACATATGATTCCTGATTTCTGAATTATTTACTTGACATTTTATGTTTGGTCCCCGAGCTCCTTTGCGATGGAATTTTGATATGACATGACCTAAAGGAAGGTGGATTCTAACTCCTCACTTACGCGCGGCATAGACTATAGAAGTCAATAATGTACTATCCCTCATTTTTGAATTATTTACTTGATATTTTGTTTGGTCCCCTAACTTACGCAATGTAGAAGAAAATAAGATATGATTCCTGATTTCTGAATTATTTACTTGACATTTTATGTTTGGTCCCTGAGCTCCTTTACGATGGAATTTTGATATGACATGACCTAGAGGAAGGTGGACTCTAACTCCTCACTTACGTGTGGCATAGACTATAGAAGTCAATAACGTACTATCCCTCGTTTTTGAATTATTTACTTGATATTTTGTTTGGTCTCCTAACTTACGCAATGTAGAAGAAAATAACATATGATTCTTGATTTCTGAATTATTTACTTAATATTTTTGATTATTCCCTAAGCTTATACTAGAATTTCAACTGATCATAGTCTTTAATTTGGTGCAATTAGAGCTTAAACTTTTTGAATAATTCAAAGAGAAAATTTAGGAACTCATTTTTAGCCCTATATTTTGTTAACAGATTTTTAAGGTAGTGATTTACATGATGACCATAATTAGTCCTACTGTTTGATTTACTTGTTTTATTTTATCCATTTATAATTATTAAGAAATTCATTTATTCTAATAAATAAGAGTTATCTTTTTATTTTCATCTTTATTTACAATTAAATTGAAAAATCCTAATTACTTACAATTAAATCAAAAATCATTACTCATTCTTATCTCTTTTGATATACGGCAAAATTAAAATAAGAAATGTGTTTTTCAATACGAATTATATTTTTATACAATTTAAATACTAAAATTATTAAAATACTGTTAATAAATCTACACTTATTGTTTATTAATTTATGGTGTTTTGGTAATCTTAAAATCCAAACTACACAAAAAAGTACAATCCGAACCGAGGGTTTGTTTGGTATAGTGGTTAAAATTCGACCAATAGTGGGTAGTGGGTAGCAGGTAGCGGATAGCGGATAATGAATACCAGTAGCGGGTAGTGGTTAGTAGATAACGGATAGCGGTTAGCAGATAGCGGGTAGTAGATAGCAAAAAATGAGTAACGGATAATAAATAACGAATTCGATAAATATAACTATTTAATTATACAATAGTTAACGATTATTGTTTAATATTAAATGACTAATAAGGACATATTTAAAAACAATTAATGTATTTTTTAAATATTTTTTATTTTTTATTATTAAAATTATTAATTTTATAAAAATAATAATAAGAAAATAAATAA